AAGCACCCAGCCTGTGTTCAACAAATAGGGTTGCTCCTCTAAGCCAAGAATGGTGCCAAGGCAAGATTGTACTTCAAATTGGGGATCTTCCTACAAGATGGGGCCGCCCATAAACATGTGTTTTCTTGCAAGGGTGATGCAGGAGCAAAGTTCTGCCTTCTTTGCACCAATTTGGTTAGTGCAAAAAGCGGGCTTGCCGACCAAGACGGGGAAGATCTACTAACCTGCTCAAGTTGTAGCTTCAACGAGATTGTTTTAGCAACTGACAGCGACATCGCTGGGACGTGCCAAAGGCTTTTGGAGAGGCATGCCACTATGTCCATTGCGGCAGCAGGCTGTGGGGCTTTCCTTCAAACCCCATGCCCTCCTATTTGACTTACTTTGCGCAGCATGTCCTGATGGTCAGCGGACTATGCGAACCTGAATGCAAGGCCGTCTTGCTACTTGCAGATGTCATGGACACGCTGGCCTCTGTCCACATGAGCATGATCACCCCTGATATGTTGCAGCGGTCTATTGATTCCTTTTTGCAAGCGTGTATCGCATGTGGCTGGGGCAAACATCTTCATCAGAAATTTCACTGGGTTTTACATCTCCATTCTCATTTGCAGGTATTCAAGCTTCTACCAGCATGTTGGGTACAAGAGCGAAAACACCGTGTGAAGCGGTATTCTACTGCAATTTCCAACTCAACAGTTTTTGAAAGATCGGTGCTGGTTGAAGTGATCTGTCGTGACCTTGCTGCCACTCAAAACCCATTGCTGTTCAAAGAAGGCCCGCGTTTATTGAAGAACTCCAAGGTGACGAAGAGCATGAAGGCTTTGCTCGAGCCTGTGGGGCAAAATGTCACTGGAGATTGCTACAGCTGCGCCACTGCTGTGCTACACCCTGCTGGACTCTGTCACAAAGGAGATGTAGTTTTGATGAGAGGCCCATCTCAGGTCAATGCTGGCCAAGTCTGGATCCATGCGCTTTTCAACGGGGTGTGCATGACTTTGATGAGCACATGGAAATTGATCTCTTACGACGCTTCAAATGGGTTCGCCGTGTTCAAGCAAGAAGATCAGGCTGAGTTTGTGGCAACTTTGGACATATACACATCTGCCACTTGGGGCGTTCATGAGCCAACTGTGTGCAAGGTCCTTGTGCCCTTGGCATTCAGAAACTGAATTGTCATCCGGACACCTGTCTCACACAATGCAGCTGTGGTGGAAAACAAGACAAGCGCTTCATGCAAACTTGCTCGGGCGCATTGACCATGACTTTCATGTTGAGCATGTGGTTGACCAAACACAATCCAGCCATCCTTGCAACTTGTGATGCCGTGTTTGCAACCAAGCTCTTGCGCACAAGGTTTTTCTCTTGTCAAAGCTAGAAAAAGCGCAACATGTAGGAGTTAGCTAAGTACTTAGCTAAACCGGCTAACCTAGTAGCTAAGTCCTTAAGTTAAGTGTTTAGCCTAACCCCTGTAACAGCTTAGCAACCTTTTGGCAACTCGCCTAAGTACTCCTAAGTTCTAGCAATTTCACAGCTCATCCAAGCACTTTTCACGGCCATTGCTTTTTTCACAGCCACTGATTGCGCTTCACGTGTTTTTCAAAAGTCGTACACGAAGCACGCTCCCGCAGCTCCGGCCTGAGAGTCGCAAGTTTTTAGTAGAAAAGTAGTGCGCGAACTACGCTCCCGCAGCTCCGGCCTGAGCATCGCAAGTTTTAAGCGTAGCAAAATCGTATGGGAAGCGCGCTCCCGCAACTCCGGCCTAAGAACTGCACACTTTAAATGGAGAAGTAGTACGCGAAGCACGCTCCCGCAGCTTCGGCTTGCAAAAAAGGAGAGAAAGAGACAGAAAGAGAAAGAGAGAGAGAGAGAGCGAAAGAGACAGAAAAGGAGAAAGAGAGAGAGAGAGAGAGCGAAAGAGACAGAAAAAGAGAAAGAGAGAGAGAGAGAGAGCGAAAGAGACAGAAAAGAAAAAGAGAGAGAGACAGAGAGCGAAAGAGACAGAAAAAGAGAAAGAGAGAGAGAGAGAGAGCGAAAGAGACAGAACAAGCGTGCAGAGGTGGCTTCCATTTACCCTCGACATGTCCGTGCTCTTGGTGGCGGCAAGGGCCCAGCGTCGCTTTTGCATCCTCATCCAGCACCAGTGCAACATCCCCAGCATTATCAGAATGACATTCCTGGAAAACAAGGCAAAGAGGATCAAAATACAAAGAAATTCCAGAGGGGAAATTCCAAAGGGCAACTTTTAATGACAAATAGCAATGTGAAAAATCCAGTACAAGAATTCCATGGAAAAATATAAACAAAAAATCCCAAAGGGACATTTCCAATGAAGAACTACAAGGAACAAATGCGCTGGGAATATTCAAACGGAAAAACTTCAATGGGAGAATTCCAACAGGACCATTCCAAAGAACAAGCGAAGGGGGAGAGGGAGAGGGAGCGGGAGAGGGAGAGAGAAAGAGAGAGAAAGAAAAAGAGAAAGATAAAAGAAAGAGAAAGAAAGAGAGAAAGATAAAGACAGAAAGAGAGAGACAGAGAAAGAGAAAGAGAAAAAGAGGAGAAGGGGAAAAGAGAAAGAAAGAGAGAGAGAGATAAATAAAAACAAAGAGAAAGAGAAGGACAATAAAAAGAGAAACAGAAAGAGAACAAGAAAGAGAGAGAGAGAGAGTGTGAGAAAAAGAAAGATAAAAAGACAGAGAAAGGAAAGGAGACACAGGGAAAGAAAAAGAGAAAGAGCAAGAAAAAGAGCAAGAGGAATATAAAGAGAAAGCGAGAGAGAAAAGGAGAGAGAGAGAGAGAGACAGAGACAGAGAAATAAAGATCAAGAGAAAGGAAGAAAGAGAAAGAGAGAAAGAGAGAGAGAGAGGGAGAAAGAGAGAGAAAGAGAAAAATCAAGAGAAAGATAAAGACAGTTTTGTTTTTGTTTTTTGTTATTTTATTAAAAAAGAGGAGGAAGAGAAAAAGAAAGAGAAAGAGATAAGAAAGATAAGAGAAAGAGAAGGATAAAGATGAGGAGAAAGGGACAGAAAGAGAAAAAAAAAGACAGAATGAGAAAGAGAGAGAGAAAGACAAAATAAAGAGAAAAAGAGACAGATACATAAATATAGATATAACATGTTGCATTTGTCAAGCGAGGGCGAAGCGATTGTTCAGCGGCGCGCGCGCAGCTCAGCGTTGAACGCGTGGGCTTGGTTGTGCTGTTTCACTTTCGCCGCTTAGCGTAGCAAGTTATCATGAGGCAATGCTGCAACGCGATTGCTGCATGCTAGAAATGGGCTGCTTAGTTGTTTAAGAGCTTCAGTTGTCAAGTAGAGTAGCGCCTGGATACATGGCACGACGCAGTGTGCACAAGCAACATCACACCTGTGTACGTCACAACATTCTTGCATCACCTTTGTCACACACGCTTCGGGATAACCGGGGTCTAGTTTGCGCACTGCAACGCCGACAGCTATCAAGGAGATCTTTTCCTAGATGAGTTGAGTGTCCCTGCAAACATACTGAGGAAACAACCGGCTGCGCAAAACGGGTCGAGGGTTGCCCGCCCACTTGTGGTTCGCGCCTCCATGCTGACAACAATAGCAGGCGTCTTGACGCTGGCACATTCCCAGCTTGAGGGTAATGTCAACTTCAGATCAATGAGGAGGACCATACTAATCAGGGGTGGTGCCCCTTATAGTGGAATCAAATGGAATCAACAAGTATATTTTAGCGAGACGGGTAGGAACAAATACTGTAACCCAAAGTTAACATCAACTTGGTTCGGAGAAAACGGCAACTGAGCGTCACACTCGTGGCTTCTGGCTCATCTTCGGTCTCCCTGTCATGCGGTTGAGTCTTCTCGCGTCCACTTCAGTTTCAGCATCACCCAGCTGCCAAAGATGCTAGCTTGTCTTGCTGGATCCTGACGATGTCCTTTACAAGCCATCAGCACTTCTCATATCACAAGGGGTGATCGTGATGGCCCACGTTCCCCGTGCTGGATCAAAAAGCTTTGTGGACAACCCAGCCCTCGAAAATTGGGGTCGATGAAGCCGACACGGATGATCACATCTCATGCCGAAAACAAAATCGCCAAGGGCGCCCAAATGCCGCAGAAGACGAAGATGTGCTGGACTTGGAGCCTTTGGATTCCTTGGACCCTTTGGATCCTTGCGATTCCTGGCGCTGGTAGTTTGGGTCACTTCAAGTCTCAGAGACCTGTCATGACCCTACAATGCCCGAAGCAAACACAACTTGAGGGCTAAGCATGGTGGAGTCCTCCTCGTCTTCGGGCACCACCTGGATGTTGGTACAGGCGCACCCCTGCCTGGACGTTGCCTTTTGTTTCCGCCCCCTGAAGGATTCTCAACAGGCAGCGCGCGTTGAAGCAAAGGTCTGAGATTGCGAGGCTTTTGGCCATCGGCTCACGTGGCTACACTTCACCACCCCTTCAGGCCATGAATCGCTGCCTTGCCTTGCTGCCAGCCATCTTGCAATCAATTGCAAAATGAAGGCTTCAAGGTCCAGGTTCATGCGGGTTCACTTTGCTTGCTGAGCCATCGTGAGCGAAACAAGTGGGGAGCCAACCTGTGAGAACCATGTGGAACCAGAAGTCTAGGCAGGACTCCTTGAGAAGGCGCGGGCGCATTCCATCCTACAGGACTTCAGGCAAATTTGACACAGCCAACGTACGAGCCAAGTAACCTACCCAAAATGCAATTCAGCAGAAAGGGGCAAATCATCCCACAATCGAGCTGGTCAGCTTGTCGGCATGCGTCCGCCAAGCTTTGCGTCTGTGCAGCTGCAGCGCAATGAAAGAGCCACCAGCTCCGAACCAAAAAGCTGAGCGCGCCATTGCCTACAAACTGCGAGCATCTGAAAGTGTTCATAGTCTTCACCCAAAAACTCTTCTGAACCAGCATCAAATGCCCAAGATAGTCTCAACATGCATGATCAAAGAGGAGATCTGTCGCAGTTTGCGAACATCCCCTCCCTTACATTGGCAGCACAGGCTTGGCTTAAGCCACGCCCAGCAGCGTGTGCTCAAGGCGGCGCCCGTCAAATGAACGACTCTCATCGGAGAGATGTGCGCTTTGCCTCGTCTCAAGGCGTCTAAACTTCAGCGATGAGGTGGTGGCATCATATGGCACCGTGCTCGGCAAGAACAAACAAAAACAATGTGGTCAAGGGCTTTGCGGCGCGCAGGTCTTTCATGTCTGTCCACATTTGGAGACCGCGGGGCCAGGTACTTTGCCCAAAGCGTGTGACCCAATCCCTGGGCTGCGTGCCTCTCCGGCGTAGGAACCTGATGGGCACTGGCCCATGGAAGATATTGCGACACCTTGCAAGACTTTGGATGCAAAAAGAACTTTGGACAATCTGAGAACTTGGGGCCCCTCCTTTTGCAAGAGGGCCAGCATGCCGTTCGGCGGCCTTACCCATTTTGACCACAGCCGTGGTCGGTAGTCTTTGCTAAGAGGACATAGGTATCTGCAATGGGTGGACCCCATGTTTTGGGGCGAGCTTGACTGGTGCCCTTCAACATACCACCAATGGTTAGAACCGCGTTGGTGGCTCGCTGTTGCTCATTAACTCCCTCAACTCCCTGATGCAAACAACCGGTGTAAACTCGGCAAAAACACCTCCAACCACATGCGGGCGATCGTTCCAAGTGCTGCGGCCCGCTTCTGTCCACAGCGATGGCAAAACCTGGATCCAGCGCAACGGCGCAGGCTGGCGAAACGTACATGTGACACCGAGGTCGGAGCAGGGTGTCTGGAGCGGCGAAGCTGGCACTGCAGTTCCTCAGAGCCATGCCCAAGAGGTGGGCAGGTTCCATGAGACATCAACAAATTGCAACGCGTCTACATAGCAACCCTTCTATAACTGAATAGGCTGCTCAGCTGCTCCCTGTTGGCATTGCAAGGTGTCCTTTACAAACCTTTCTGAACCCCCCAAGTCACCCAACCTCAATCGCAGATTCTTCAGCCGAAAGGCGCACACCCGGGCTGCAACTCTCCTCTCAGCTCCTCCGTGTGCCTCTGCAGCCGCTGGATGCGGCCTTGGTAAAAATGGGGCTTGGAGCCCCGTCCGCTTGAAAAATCGCTGAGTTACAGATTTGCGAGCAACCTATGCTTCAATCTGCGAGCGTCACCCCGTGAACCATTGCTAAAGCGCAAAGCGGGAGGTGCTGCCCACTTGTCCCGTCCAATCGGGGAACGAATTCTGCCAGCAAGGGCGCGGACTGCTGAAGGCATAATCCGATTGAGGGAATGCAAAGCTTTGCATCCTGCTAGCCTAATCCCTGCCGGTGAGAAGGAAGCCATCCGAAGGCAGAATCCGAAGGAAACTCCGGGCCTGGGATTGGTCGTTTTGTTTCGTTTTCGAACACATGTTGCACGCCTGAGATGCCTGCCCAAGACTATGTGCAAGGCTCGGGACCCCGCTGCATGTTCAGCACCATGCTAAGTCCACAGGAAAAGCCGTTGCCAAGTGTCCCATATTGCAAACAATGCTTACTTGAGAAATTCTGCAAGACGCGCCGAAAGTCCCTATGTTGCTTACGCGCGAGCCAGCGCTTTGCTTGCGCGACCCATGTTTTGTCTTATGCGGCAGCCAGCGAGCATGTCCAGCTTACGGTCAGCGTTTTAAGTGTTTCCTCTCAACAAAAGCTGACGCGGGCTACCTTTTCTATGCGGCAGCCAATGATCAAAATGACTTGGATGACTCTGAGGAAGTTGATGAAGAATTGCAGTCGCGCTCTTTTTTTCAGGTCCTCACATTGTAGCTCTCTTGCTCAGCATTTGGGATTTGGTTGACAGCTTTGCCTCCGGAGATTGTGTTGCCGCCGCTGCAAATAGAAGAGCGGTTTTCGCGGCATCATGGTGTGGGCGAGAGCGCAGCCGTGCTGGGCGACCTTATGCAACTCTTGCACACCTGCTTAAGCTGGAACCCTGTTTGCTGAATCCACTGCGCGGTAGCCCACGCGTTCTGGAAATCCGACGCCTACGCCTACCCGACCGCTTATGCAGCATGTTTCCCCAAGAAGTGTTGCGCCGGCTGACTCCGCGCAGGGTTTTGCTTCCGTAGGGCCTTCCCACACAACTTCTCGCGTGGCATGTGAAGAGGGTTGTTGAGCTGCTCGTTTGAGGATGTGTCAAAACCGGATATCCTGCATCTATCCGCCACGTTGTCTGCAAGGGCGAGGCGCACGGGAAGGGTGGCGGTCATCATCAGAACCGTTCCTGCCGGGTTCCAAATCATCGTTACAGTCATGATTGACCCTTTTGATCTTTATTGTCTTTCTCATTTCACCATTGTCTCTTCTTTAGACCCAACTTGCAACGCAAGGGGTGCTATGAGGATAGTTATCATTATAATGGTCGTTGCAGTCATCATCATGGACATGATCGTCCTCATCATCATCATAATCATCATAATCATCATCATCATCATCATCATCATCATCATCATCAGTATCACCACCATTCTGGCTAACATCATCTGTTGCGCCACTTGCAACCATCTTCGTTGACACTTGCAATGCCAGGGGTGGTACCGTGAAAATTAACCTCATCATGTCTTCCTTACTTCTCTCTCTTACTTTTCGCTGATAATGATCACGATGATAATCATGATGACGCCTGCACCTTTGATGATAACTATCATGATAGCACCCCTTGCGTTGCAAGGAAGTGAGGCTGATGATGGTCAGGAGAATGATGATCATGATGACAACTTTGACGGCAACTATCATCATAGCTTCCCTTGCGTTGCAAGTCGGCTCCAACGCCACACTTGTAAATATCAGAAAGAAAAGAGAGATAAGTAAGAAAGATAGGAAAGACATGGTGGGAATGGTGATAACTTTCGTTGTAGCATCCCCGGCATTGCCAGTGGCGCAAGCGCATGATGATCGCCACAACGATGCTCATAATGATGAGGATGATGGTTTGTGATGATCGCGGTGATGATGTTGATGATAGCTATCAGAAGCATTGCCGTCATCATCCTGATAACCATCATCCTCATCATCATCAACACTAGCCAGCATCGCTCTCAATACCCATCACCGTGGTCATCACCAACCATCATCATCCTCATTGTGATCATCATCATTGCGGGTAGCATCATCTGCCTGTGCGACTGGGAAGCCGAGGATGCTATGATGATGGTTGTCATCATCATCATCATCATCATGTCTGCCTTAGCTTTCTTACTTGTCTTCCTTATCTTTATTGTATCTTTCTTCCCTATCTTTCACATCTGTCTGATATGCACATATCAAGTGTGGCGATATAGCGCCGAATTGCAACGAACGGGGTGCTATGATGATAGTTATCATCAAAGTTGTCATCATGATCATCGTTGCCCCCATCACCATCATCATCGCCGACTTGCAGTGTAAAAGGGATGCTATGATGATCGTTATAAAAGTTGTCCTTGCAGTCATCGTCATGATTGTCATCAGCCTCATCAGCATCAGTACTAGCCAGCATCATAACCATTGTCATCATCATCACCAACTATCATCATCGTCGGGTCATCATCGTCTGTTTGCTTACTTGCAATGCCACCGGGGGTGTTCCGATGACAGCTTTCGTCACCATCATGTCTTTCTTACACTTCCTACTTATCTTTCTTGATTTGATTCTATATACATTTCAAGTGTGGCGTGAGAGCCGGCTTGCAACGCAAGGGGTGCTATGATGATAGGTATTGTCAAAGTTGTCATCGTGATCACCACATCATCGCCAACTTGCAACGCAAGGGGTGCTACGATGAAAGTTATCATCAAAGTTGCACTCACCATCCTGATCATCACCGTGCCCATCATCATCACCAGCAATCATGACCATTATCACCATCGTCGTAGTTATTGTGATCTGCCCGCGACACTTGCAATGCCGCTTTCTTAACTTTTGTGCTCACACATTTCAAGTGCGGCGTTAGAGCCGACTTGCAAGGGGTGCTCTGATGATATTTATCATCAGGGTTGTCATCATGCTCAACATTGTCCTCATCATCATCACATCATCATCATCACCGATCTGCAACGCAAGGGGTGCTATGATGATAGCTGTCATCATCCTCATCATCATCGTGATCATCTCCTACCATCATCCTGAGCATTATCATCGTCGCTGTGGCTATCATCATCTGCTTGCGCCACTTGCAATGCCAGGCGCTACGACGATAGTTAGCATCGCCATCATGTCTCTCTTGTCTTTATTCTTTAATATTTCTTATCTTTCATAATTTTTGTGACGTTAGACCCGGCTTGCAATGCAAGGGGTGCTGCGTTGACAGGTGTCACCAAAGTTGTCATCACGGTCGCCATGCTCAACATCATCCTCACCATCATCACCGACTTGCAATGTAAAACGGATGTTGTGATGGCAGTTATCATCAAAGTTGTCCTTGTAGCCATCATCATGATCATCATCGTCCTCATCATCGTCATCACCACTAGCCAGCATAATCATTGTCATCGGTTATCATCGTCTTCTGCTTGGCAACTTGCAACGCCGGGGGGCTATGATGACACTTGCAGCCCAGGATTGCAACGCAAGGGACGCCTTGATGATAGTTACCATCAAGGTTGTCCTTGCAGCGATCATCATTTCAAATGTGACGTTAGTGCCGGCTTGCAACGCAACGGGTTCTATGATGATCGTTGCCGTCGAAGTTGTCATCATGATCATCATTGTCCTCACCAGCATCATCATCATCACCGACTTGCAGCAAAAAGGGTGCTATGATGATAGTTATCATCAAGTTGCAGCCATCATCCTGGTAATCATTGTCCTCATCATCATCACCAGCCAGCAACATCATTATCATCATCATCGTGGTTCTCACCATCTCTCGCCTGTGCCACTTGCAATGTCAAGGGCACTATGACAATACTTATAGTTGCAACGCAGGGGAAGCTATGGCGATGGCTATCAGAATTCCTTGCAGTCATCAGCATGATCATTATCGCCCTCATCATATTCATCACTAGCCAGCACCATGATCATCATCCATCCTTCCATCCTTCCATCCATCACCCGCCATCCGTCTTGCATCCACCCCACCCATCCATCCACCATCCATCGCGCACGGCTCAGCTTTTCCAAAAAAAACGTTCTCTGACGAACGAGGCCGGAGCGCGGAGCGTGATTATAAAACAAAACAAGGGCGGAAACAGGGCGACTTGACACAACTGTGGATGCGCGAGTCAAGCACATCACCAAGCAGAGGGCTTTCCAGCTGTTGTTGCAGGGCGCCCATGCCTCACAGAGACCCACCCGAGAATTGAGGAAGCAACGCGGCTCTCTTCCAGTAAAGGTTGACATCCCACATAATGGGGCACAGAAAATTGACAGCTTCCCCAGATCTTGTGCGAGAGCAATCAGGATGCTGTCAGACCTCCGGTTCTGCTAGTGCTTGATTCAAATCTCGCGCGGTCTAACCCCGCCTTTCGCGGAAGCTCGCCGCTGCTCTCGAAAGGTGCGGCGCTGAGTTTCAGACTGCGCCTTACACATGGAGATCGAAGGCCCTTTATCCGGCGACTGTGGGCAATGACGCATTTCCCCTTAGCCTACGGCTGAAGCGCTGTTTGCGTCCCACTGGCTCGAGGTAAATAGGCCAGCATGGGTAGCTGCCGATCGGTCGGCTCACTGCACGACGCACACGCCGACTCCAAAGCGGAGCCACGAAGGAAACACAGTCTCAAGATTCATTCCGAGCACGTCCATTCGGCGTCAGAGTCGCACCCATGAGGCAATCCTCTTTGAGGAGTGCCAAACTGAGCTCCGTTAGAACAGCTCCAAAACAGCCCTCGTCTTGAGGAATTCAAACTGCTTTGTACCTGGCAGCACAAACTGTCAGGGCGCATGTTTTGCTCGCTTGACCCCAAGAGCACTTCCGGGGACCACGAAGGCCACCTCTTTGAGCCTGAGCATGGTACCTGGCCATTCCAAGGCAACGCGTCACACGCACTCACAGGGCGCAAGTAGAAAGCTTGGAGCTACGAACTACCTGCCGCGCGCGCCGGAGCCTACGCTGATGAAACAACAAGCAGAACATAGCGAGCAGCAGTCACCTTCGCTGTCGCTGTTCTGCACTGGACACCGCTCTCAGCTCCATCTGCGAAGTACAACCGAATCATTCAATCCCGTGACAACAGAACAAATGGATGATCAACATGGGGTTGTAGAAAAATCACACGAAAACGGCCCCCTTGACCCCAAACAAATCGTGGCACCACTAGGGCGGGGCAGGACGGGGGCCCTTTATTTACGCCGACTCGAGGCCCAAGTGGGCGGTGAACGGCGCACTTGGAAGGCACCTCGCCAGGCCGAGACCCACACGATTCGACCCGCAAAAACAAATCCTTGTGTCTCCGTATATGACTAATTGCTACACTCTATATATATACATAAAAATATCACTGGCTCTTTCTTGCAAAAAAAAATGAGGCGCCCAAAATTCCCGAAAGAATCGCGAAGGGTTCTTCCGCGTGGGGCCCTTGAGCCAAGTTGCAGAGCGCCAAGTGGCACAGAGCCAAGTTGCACAGAGCCAAGCTGCACAAAGCCAAGTTGCAGAGAGCCAAGCTAAGGGGCACAGAGCACACAGCAACGGGGCACAGAGCCAGGTGGCGCAGAGCCAAGTTGCATGGAGCAAAGATTATGCCGAGTGCTGGCGCAGAGCTTCGGCGTAAGCAGCTTGTTAGTTTAGGTTTCCAAGGCTCATCGCCGGGGTTGCGACCCTTTGCGAAGATCCGCGCGGCCGCCGTTAAAGAACTCTGGGCTTTTTACGATCGTGCTTGTCGAAGCGCTCTCACTGCGGCGCTGTGACACCCGCTGCTCGGGAAACGGCCTTTGAAAGTTGTCTCGAAGTTTGCGCGCCTGCTTTCACAGGCAGGCTCGATTCATGCGAAGCGCATCCCCGCAGCTCCGGCTCAAACGCATGTTTCAAGTATAATAACTTTTGAGTACAAAAGTAGTACGCAAAGTGTATTCCCCAGTTCCGGCTTGAGGACCGCAATTTCTAAGTACACAAGTAGCACGCAAAGCGCCTTCTTCTAAAAGCGGCTGCGAACTTCACACACCAACCTCGCCTGCCAACTTTTCGAAAGTTACTTCACCTACCCAATTCTCACGCCCGCTTCAAGTCACGGCTCTTTCAGTACAGTTCTAGTACGCGAAGCGTTCTCCCGCAGCTCCGGCTGGAAAATCGCCATTCTTTTAAAAAAAAACTACGCGGAGCGCTTCCGCAGCTCAGGCCGAGCATCTTTCGCACAGGGGCAACCGCTGAGCGTCTTGCAGAGAGTCTCCGCGGCTGGAGAAGTGCTTGGGGAACACGCTTTCCGCGTCCTTTAGTTTAAAGACTTAGAGCTGGTGGCTTGCGTTCGGAAGTGGCTGGCATGTTTCAAGAAAAGGAAACAAGGAGCTTTGGTCATGCGTCCAGTCAACCCAGAATTTCGCAGTGAAGGCAATGGGTGTGACGCGCTGGCTATCTGAACGCCTACGCTGTGATATCCTGTATCTTGCGGAGAGGTCCTTGCAAGACGCAGGTCGGCGTGAAAGCGCCGACTGAATTCGATTTGAGTTTGACTTCAAAGGACCTACGCGGTCTGCGTTGCGAATGTCTGGCGTACGCAACTCAGCTACTTTTGTTGCGAGTAGTCGAGGGCCCGCCTCTAACAAGCCGTGTGCCTTCGGGCGCGTGTGCCTTTGGCTGCGCGCGACGCGTGCCTGCGAGCACGGCCTGCAGTGCGCAGGTGACTGAGTGATTCCAAACACCCAAGCGTTGATTTCATCTTGCCCAGTTTGCTGTTCATCCAATCGCACAAGTTCCACGGCCAGGCTTCCAGCAATAGGGAGTGAAGGGTGTGACACTTTTGGGCTAGGCTACACTGTCAAAATTGGCCGGCGCCTCCCCATGACCCCGAGATCCACGAATGACAATGAATATTGGCTGTGGCATGCGTACCAGGCCAAGTTTGTTAGAGTTCGACAGGAGCCTCCCATGCAAAGACCATGCCGTCGGCAGCTGCAGTGAACAATGATTTCCTCAGCTCGTGTTCGGAAGGCGCAACTCTCACAGGTCAAGGGCTGAACCAGGAAGCTCTCCCCCTGCCTCCCTAAGTTTAACGGGACGCTGCTTTGTGGAAACCACTTCTTGGCCATCCATTAGGAAGGCTCCCGAGCTCGTTTCAATACACAGCCAACTCCCTCCGCAATTTAGCTTTTCAGCCATCTATGTCCAATGCGAACAAACAACCAACTGGGGAACGCCAGCCAGGCAGGCCGTTGCTTGGCCAACAAGCATTGAACACATCCTTGGGGGGCGGGCAACCGGAAACCAGTTTTTTGAAGGACACACACGCCACGCGCTGAGCCAAGCACTGATCTGAAGCCCAGGCCACGTCCCGGATCCAGGCCTGCCGTTTGGGGTGGCATGTCGTGTTGCTTGGAGACACCATCGATTTGAGGTTGGTCATAGTTGCGCTAGCGCTGTTGAAGGGCTCGCTGAGACTAAGAGAGTTGTGTGTCCTGTGTGTGTGCGCAGAATCTTCTGGCTGCCAGGTCTGAGTTGTGTCTCAAAATGAAGAACCCTTGGCTTTGGAGGCCTGAAAAGAGGCGGTGGTCCTGATTCCTCGCCAATCATTCATCCCATCACACACGCTCCCGATGAACTTCGCCTCGTGCGCGACGAACTTTGCCACCAGAAGCGGGTTGAAAAGAGACCTTGAAGCTTCGGGGTGAAAGCAAACACAAAACACGGTCTGCGCAAATTGTGAGCTGCTTCCCTGAAATCCAGACCAAACCGATCCAACTCCTTCGCGCAAGAAAACCGAGACGAAGCTGGGTCGGATTTTACCAACAGCGCAAGAAGGCTCCATTTGAGACACGCTGTGTCCATCCGTTGGTCGTTGGCCCTCCCTTCTGGGCCAGGTAGATCTGAACAGTGGAACCCAATTCCAGAATCTCAGCCTGCTCATGCGACTCCAAACTAGACGTCGTAAAACTGCCAACTCCAAAAATCCAAGAACCAGCAACAAACCCCTCGGCGTGGCTATTTGATTTCACTCTGCTTCTCATTAGAACCGTGCGGCTGGAGCATACAATAGACGTTAACACCAAGCCAAAGGGTCTCAGGTTTTGCAAGCCCACCAGCCATGCCAGCCCAGTGGCGGGATCCATATCCTTGCCGAGCAGTCCTTGGAAACGCTGGCCAGGAGCTGCCCATCCCTCGGCATCGGGCAAGAGACCTCCAACGGTCTTGGGCGAGGTATGACACTTGAAAAAGCGAATGATGTCTCAAACGTACAACAGGTGAAGTAACATGTAAAATTGAAGGAGGTTGCGGAGCAACTGTTTCTGTAAATGCCTAACACGTCGGTGGAGGATTATTGCAGCATCTGTGGGTAGGGACTCTTGGTACGCAAGATTTGTGCGCAGGGTCTCCGCGAGCACTCTGGAGGGAGCATCCTTTACAAGACCTCTCTCAAGCAAATCTTTTGCAGGTCCCACACAAAACCTCGGCCGTTTTTGGGCTGTTTGCGAGAGGATTTTCGCAGGATCCCTGCGAAAGTATGGGTAGGATCTTGTGGTAGGACCTCCCGGCCAAGATCCCTCAAGGAGCCTCTACGAGTAGGGGGCACCCTCTACAAACGGATCTCTGGAAAGACCAGCGCAAGGTGCTTCTGTTTTTACAGGATCGCTGCGCAAGATCACTTGAAGGATCTCTTGGCAAGACTTGCGCTCGCGATCGCTGGTCTGGAACTCTTGGTAGGCTTGGCAAAACGCGCGCGTAGAATCCTTGAGGGGTCTGCGCGAGACCTCTTGAAAGGATCCTGCCCCCGCGCAACAATCTATGCAGGGGATACTCAAGGGTTGGGGCCTCATGTGAGCACGTGGTTTCGGTCTCACCGGGACACGTGGCCACTCCAGCCGATTCTGGTCTCACAGGAGCATTTGGTGCGCCTGCCACGAAATCCAGCCCCAAAACTGCACTCTCGCAGGTTGCTTCACAAGCATGCGCGTGCAAATTTGGCGCGCGGGCGCAGCTTTTGAAACGTCGGAGAACACAGCGGCTCGGGTCTCACAGAAGCACGTGAGTGCTCCAAACCACACTCAAAATAATGCGCCCGCCACAAAACCCAGCTCCAAAACCCACGCGGGATCTGGCTTCAACCGCACTCTTGCAAGCCGCTTCGCGAGCATGCGTGAGCTAATTCAGCGCAGCTTTTGAACGTCAGAGCACGCGGCGGCTCGGGTCTCACAGGAGCACGTGAGCGCTCTAAATCACTCAAAAGAGCGTGCCTGCCACGAAATCCAGCTCCACAACCCGCGCGGGACCTGGCTTCAACTGCACTCTTGCAGGTCGCTTGACAAGCATGCGCGTGCCAATTTAGCGCGCGGGCGCAGCTTTTGGAGAGTCGGAGCACGGGATGGTAAGCACCTCCTGCATGTGCGCATCCTCGGACGTGATCGGAGCCACCGCGCTGAGGTCACTCGTCATGGCAGGCAAAGCGCGCGTTCACGTGAGCTGCGCTACGCCTGCGCCGCGACTCGTGTGGCAAGAAAGTCTGGTCGCTTCGCATTGGCGTTCGAAGAGCATCCCTGTAGCCGCTCACTTCCAAGCACGCGTGACACGACGCGCGTAGAGCGTCCCTGTGACCGCTTCCTTTCCAAAGCACGCAGAAAAGCCAGCGACATGAAGAAGAAGCACGAGGCCCAGAGCAAGACGCAACCGCCACATGCAACCCTGGATGGGATCAAGCATGGATGAAAGGCTTGCACACACGTGCGATACTAGTGTGTGTTTGCTTACATGCGCGTGCGAGACTCACGTGTTTGCCTTTTTTGGAACATGCGCGAGTATCACATGCGCGGGCAAGACCCACGAAAACTTGCCCAAAGTACCGCGCCTACCACGAAACCCAGCCCTCTACATGCGCGGGCGAGACCAAGTTTACGTGCGCCTGCGAGCCGAAAACCACGCGCGCTGGCGAGGCTGTGACCATTGTTTATGCACAAGATCTTTGTTCAAGATCTGGAGGGACTTGGAGGGAAATCTTTCCGGGCGCTGCAAGAGTTTGAAGGACCAGCGCAAGATATTTTTGGAAGGCTTTGTGCAGGATGTACGCGTGTGATCTCTTGACAGGATCTCTTGGCAAGATCTGCGGGCAAGATCTCTGGGTAGGACCCTTGATGGATCTCTTGGCAAGAGGATGCATGACAGGACCCGCAAAATGTTGAGCTTCTCTGTAAGGATCCCCAAGATCTCCAGCACGAGTATCTTTGCAGGTCCTGCGCTTCGATGTCTGTAATTTGCAAAAGTCTGCAGAGGCCTCGCCCGCGCCGCAACGAGAGCGATCCGGCCCTCCCAAAGTCCGCAGAGGGCTCGCCTTCGATGTTCCACATTCGTCCCATGCCACAGCGTGAGCGATCCGAACCACCCAAGTCCATCGAGGTTCACTTCTGATGTTCCAAAATCACGCCGCGCCACAGCCAGAGAGTATCCGGTCCACCTGCGGCGCGAAGAGGTTTGCCGCGCCAAAGCCAGACCACTTGCCCAAAATTCGGGCCGCACCAAAGCGAGAGCGCTCTGACCCACCCAAGGTGGGCTGACCTCGGCGCCGAAGATTCGCACTGCGGTTGAGCGAGAGGGATCCAATCCGATCAAAAGTCCGCAAATGCAGTCAAAATGCACATGCGCATCTCACGGGGAACCTCTTTGGCGCGGGCCTCCGCAATCAAACAGCGCAGCCCAAATTTCAGCCTATCACTTCACGCTAGCTTGCGCAAACGACAGGCGTTTCAAGCTTCTACAAACTCACGACTGTGCATAAATACCGTCAAAGCACCCCGATCTTATAACCCCAGCCCTTTACTCTGACCGTAAGACTCTCTGGGTGTGGCGACATTGGTGTGGGAATTATCACAACGTAACCACGCGACTCTGCCTGCCAGACGGACCATGTAGCGAAACGCCGCCATATCAGCAACATCTCCGCTGCCAAGTTACATTTTGCCCTCGCCCGCTAGTGTTTGCGCCGGACAACCACTGCATTCAAGTAAACAATCACATAGACAGACTACCTTCGTTCGAACCAAAAAATCTCCGACAAGGAAAAAGGACTCGCGCAAGTAATGGTCGCACACAACAGCAACTTCAATCAACTGAGTGTCAACAAGCGACAAACCATGTTTGTGTGCTTCCGTAGTTGTTTCCCTCCTGTTTTCAAATCAGATCGGCCTCTTGCAATCAGGAAGGTCGCGCAAGCCCCTTTTGCCGCGCTAGCTGCTGCGGGGCCTACCAGCCAAGTCGCTTTAAACATGTTCAACACGCCTCAACCGCCACTGTTCAAGCACCTGTGCGCCCCTTCAGCTTCTCTGTTTAGGTTGGCCCAAGGCGCCGATGGTATCTGCAACGTGTCTCCCAGCACTCTGAGCACCGCTAGGAGCTGCGCCCAGTGAACCGCACCCGTGAGACGCCACCTCAGAGCCCCTCTATAACAGGCTTCATGTGTCTGGGGAGCTGCCTGTTTTGGCGCGTGTAAGGACACCAACCAAACTACACCGGGGCGGTAGCGCCCCATGATTTCCGCCAACAGACAACTTCTTTGCCGAACAGGAAGTCTATGGGCAGAAGCGCGGAGGCGCACACCGAGCATTTGCTGGAGCACCAGGCGGTTGATCTTCCCAGTCAAGTATTCATGTAAAACACAGGACCGGACATGAGGCAACCAGCGCCCAAACTTGCGAGGTCTCTTGCCACTGCAAAGAAAGCCACTCGTACGGACTGCGGGGGGTAATCAGATATTCCCACGCAAGGCTACTAACGCACTTGCTGAGTTGAATTCGAATGGGACGACAACGCAAAGGAGCCACTGGTTCGTTGTTTGTTCCTTCCATGTCAGCGCAAGGCAGCAGAGAAACAACTCGGTTTTTGGATTTTAACAATACACGCATTGGCGAAAGCGCATGAGTATCAATGCTGCACCCTCATCAAGAACCTCCAAGGTCTGACTCGTTGTTCCTGGACTTACATGTTGATGACTTGGCTCCCAATGGGAGGCTAGGGTGGGAAACCGCAGCTATCTGAACAAGTCCCAGACCTCTGAGGAGACAAATGCGAAGAGGGAAATCAAAGCCACAAAGAAAACAGTCTGAGAAGGCCACTGAGAACACGCAACCCGCCGAGGGCAAAGCTTTCATGGCCCTTCAGAGTAAAATGTGCGAGATTGACTCCCATGACCTGCACAAGCGCATTAAAGGTGGAATTCAGGAGATTCATTGTCACGACCAAAGCAATGAAATTAAGTGCCACGAAGGTCGTGGCTGTCAACTGATACAAATGACCCTTTCCGTATCAATCTGAAAAAGGGTCTTACTCCTTTCACATGCCCGAATCACGCGGTCACCTGGAGCCCTCGCAAGGCACAGCTTAAAATGATCGGCGCGCGTCACAAAATGCTTCTTTCCCGGCGTTCGGCTGAGTCGGCGTAACGTCGTTATCTTACCCGTGCTCCGCTTGCGGCAGGGAGTGAAATCATTGGCAACGCCGTTGCGAGGAGAGCTCAGTTTGCACGCAGTCAAAGGCACTGCTGCTAGGGCAGCCTTTCCTTGGCACCTCGCCCATTGTCGCGCGTGTGCTGCCGCAATTGAATAGACCGTGCGAGGTTGCGAAATAACCTTGGTGCTTGTAGAGTTCACAAGGTACTTTTCTAGGACTATTTGTTTAAACCTATTACTCTACCCACACACATTCTTGGAATAGTTTCTTCTGCAATGTGTCAGGCTGCCGCATCTTCTCCTTTCGCACGCAGCGCCACGCCTTGGGTTATGATGTACTCATATGCGTCTACTTTGGGTCTTAAAAGGCTTTACACTTCGAGCGTCGGGGCCAAATAACTGGGGGCCACACGGGATGCAAAATAGATGGCACATTTTTTAGCGCCCTAAGATGCACAGGTTACCTAATTTATGGCACAATTCAGTGCGTCCACTCACGCTCGCTCACTGGCTCGCTTGCTTGCTCACTTGCTTGCTCGCTCATGCACTTGCCCACTCACTCACTCACTCACTCACTCACTCACTCACTCACTCACTCACTCACTCACTCACTCACTCACTCACTCACTCACTCACTCACTCACTCACTCACTCACTCACTCACTCACTCACGCACTCGTGTAGTCGTGCACTCAATCACTCACTCACTCACGCACTCACTCACTCACTCCCTCACTCACTCCCTCGCTCGCTCATTCGCTCGCTCACTCACGCACTCGCGCGCTGACGCCCTCGCGCACTCACTCTGTTGAAGTGCGGACTTTTCACCACACAACTCGAACCGCTATGCCACCAGTCGAAAACTGTACATGCCAAGCTCATGACATTGTTAAACTGGTTTGTACAACCGCGGATTTATCTCCATGACAACATGGGTGTCTTAGCAGTGGTAAATGCTTAACACCCCGCCTTGAAGTCAAGCGAAATGCCTGTAGCATTGACTTCACCCAACCACGCATCACCCTGTACTAGACCTAGCCTCAGAATTAGGCTTTCTTTGCCTTCTCCGAATCACACCACCATCCTCACGAAATGGAGGATTGCACGTTCTGCATCTGCTGTAGCCAGTGAGATCAGAGAGCTTGAACTCCTTGGATTCTCGACCTTGGATCCATCGACATCCCAAAGAATGATAGAATGCCCCTGAGCGTGTAACATACACTGCATCTGCAATCACTTCACTACGGAAATCTCTGTACATGAAATTCACATTTGGATACTGACGCCAGTATAGAGGCATATGGCCACCATAATCATCTGGTTCCTCTGTTGAGGAAGATCGCACTTCTTTGTTTGCTCTCGCATCACCTCCAGAAACATCTTCCGCATTCTCTCCTTGAGTCTCTGGCATAGACTCATAACTCTCAGCGTCATTTAAAGTTTGCTCAGAAGGTCGAGTCCAAATTCCACTGAAAGACTCGATTACATGTTTCCATGCAAAATGCACAAACTGCACTGCACAATACAAAACGCAAATACCAGAAATTGCCAAATAAATCTCAAGCCATGAAAATCCATGAACATCTCCAGCTTCTGACGTGTCACTGCTGTTCACACTCGCACCACTCGCTCTCATGCACTGATCAAGCAAAACCAAACGCACCAACTGTTTTCCTGCGCTACCTGCCAAGTTGTGTTCACCCTGAAACATCTCTCTCACAATTCTCACACGCGCCTTTTTGATCTCTTCCTGACAGATCCGTTTGCGCACCATCTCCTGAAAGCTTTCCTCGCCAATGATCTGCCCATCCTCATCTTGCATTTGCAAAAGAAACATCAAAGTCTCTCGCCGCTCTCTCGACAGTTTCTTCGTTCCCAAATCTGCAATATTGCAATGGGTACTGATTGGCAGAATAGCAACATTTCCATTTCGCACCATACTCTGTAACCAAAGCAGCCGAGTACTGATACGCTTCAATCGCCCAAAGCCTTGGCGCTGAGTAAACGCCCGCGCTGAGGACGAATCACACCTGAGCTGAAGAATAACTTGCTCACCTGTCATAAAAGCAAATAGCTTCTGCACATACACCGACTCTGCAAGTCCACCACTAGCAGCGATGACCTCACTCTCACATGAAGACAATGCGATGCTTCTCTGAGTCCTCGAATAGCTTGTCACCATCACACCATTCACCATCAGAATTGCTGAACTCACCGAATGCCTTGTTCTGCTTCCTGCCCAGTCAGCATCCGTGTAGCACTCAACCACATGACTTGAATCACAAAAATCCAATTCGTCATCCTCTCCAGTTGTAAGCCGACGTACCACTGTCGCACCTTTGCGGCTATATGGCAATAAGGTTCCTTGTCCTGCTGTCCGATTCAAATACAGCAATGTATGAACCAAATTCTTCTCTGCCATCTCAGTTGGTTTACTCATCCACCTTGCAAGTCGACCAACTGCAAACTGAATATCGCACCTGTCCTGCGCCACATAGAGCAATGTACCAAGTGCCGTACGAAACATAGATGCCCTCTGGATAGGGAGTTCACTGCTGGTATCATCGCAATCCAATGTACTGCCTTCAGGCGTTGCCTTTCCCTTTCTCGCACTCAGGTTATACATATCCAGCAACTTCGGCACATACTTCGAATCTGGTTTCAGCACAATCCCATCAGGTGAGAAATAATGCAACTTCTTCAGATACTTCATAGTGCCACCAAAATCCTCAGGTGTAGGATGCGGGCCATCCACATGCAAGTTGAACTTCTCCTTGATTGCATCCAGAAACCACACCATATCTGGCCCAAATGCACTGACCAAAAGGTCATCTACATGAATAGTGAAAACAACCAGCCTTTTCGCATGCTTGTACAATATAGGCAAAACTGGACACTGCACAAAACCAAGCGCCTTCGCCACTGCATCAAAATACACATGCCACTTCAATGCAGCATTCCTCTGACCTGGCAAAACGCGCTCCAAGATCCATACTGCATCTTCTGGAAGATTCCGGTGTTCCTTAATCCAAGCTGGAATTTGCACCACAACCACACCTTCCTGAGGCACATTCAGAAAAGCTTCACGAATATCAAGACATGTAAGCATCCAGCGATACATCAGATGAAAAAGAAGCACCAGCCTTGCCACTGCATTTCCTGAAGTGGGAGAAAACGTGTCCATGCCACTTGCCTGCCCAGCACGAAATTCGCGCGCCACAATCCGACACCTGCGCTTCCAAACCATGTCTCGTTTGCGCCAATCATAAACTTCTCTCGTATCCAAGTATTTCACATCACCTGGAGGCACAACCATTGACTCCCTGAGCACACCCATGCGCATAAGCTTATCAAGCTCTTCCAGTTGCGCTTGCCTGTCCAACTCCTGAATTTCTTCACCTGACAGGTCAGGAGGTCTGTCATCCTCCTCTCCATCATCCCCAAATTCCTCTACATCTAGAGGCTCAAAATCTTCTCCAGCAACATCAAGTTCCCACTGCTCCTCATCTACATAAGGCTCCATGTCACCAGCCGCATCAACCCGAGCTGCAGAACCATCTGCCTTTGGCTTCGAAGGACTCGTCCTATCATCTGTGCGGGACGCTTTGTTTCCAGGTGCCCCGCCTGAAGTGGAATCTCCAGAACCTCCTCTCTTGCTTGCTAATGTCTCATCCATTTGCTGCGGCTCACTCCCTGTTGCGCTGCTGCTCACTGACATTTGCCTTTGACTCTTGTCTGCAGACTCATCTCCATCACCTGCTGCCGAATCGGGATCTGATGCAGCCTCATCAACTGCCTCTGAAACCACCGCCGCTGGTTCAGCACCACCTCCTGGACCCAAATCTGACAGCGGACGATCCTCTGGCAAGATAGGTAAAACTGCGGGTTTCTCCACAAACTTCACCTTCGTCTCATACTTCTTCTTGCTCCAAGGAAAACCTTCCAACACCATGACTTCTTCTCCACTCCAACGCTTCTCTGTGCGTCTGACAGCTCTCGTCTTGATGAGCCCCGCCTTGGTAGCAATGATGTCCTGATCTGCATCATCTTTTCCCAGCCAAATGCCTGCAACCCACAAAGGAGGCCTTGAGCAATGATGGCCGCTTCAATCCAACAACTCGCTCACCAAAGCAAACCAAACGTCCTTTGTATGGTTTTCCAAATGCACATTCAAATGGAGTCATCTTCAATCAAGTGTGCTTGTGATACCTGTTGAGGACCCATGCTGCATGCCGAAGACACCATGCAGCAATCGGATGTTCTTGACCAATGGACACCTCACATTGACTTTCCAAGCAACTCATCATTGTCGCATACTGTCTTCGCAGCGTTTGAATAGACCGCTCACAAATAGCAGTCTTCGATTTGTCATATGGAGTACCCCAATTCACCTGTGTGTTGTACCCCATTCCTTGCCGCACCGTCTTCGCATAGTCCAGCACAGCCTTGATTGTAGGCTCACTATCTGCAACAAACTCCACACACTCCAAATAATTGAGTTCCAAGGAAAACCTCACCATTTCTTCTGCCATTGCCTTGATGTTCTTCTTGCTGCTTATTGGAAACGCCCTCAGCATACGAGTCCACTCATCTGTCATCAAAAGTGCAACCGCAATCTCACCATCCTCCTGACTGCGATTATACATGAAATCTGACTGAATAATAGGAACTGACCTGTCTGATTTGCTCGTGACAACTTCCAAGCCACGATGGTCGTCCTTGCCTTTGCATGTCTGACAAAAT